CATTCCTGCCCCCTCCATGGGAAAAGGAAGCCTGCCAGATTTTTTTGTAGGAAATTGAACAGGCAATGATGGCACCAGAAAAAGGCTGAAAGAAAGGATGACTAGGGCAGGGCAACTCTACTCCAATATATTTTGTTGCAGCTGATCACATAATGATAAAATCATAGACTGGTTTGGGTTGGAAGGGACCTTAAAGATCACCTAGTCCCAACCCCCCTGCATGGGCAGGGACACCTCCTACTAGACCAGGTTGCTCCAAGCCCCATCCAACCTGCCCTTCAACACTGCCAGGGCTGACACAACATGCCACAGGATACTTCAATTAGTCAAAAAAATCTCAAACAAAAAGAAAAAACAACCCCTAAACAACCAATCCCCCACCCCGTATTTCAAATAAAGCTTCTGGCACTCTTAGAACTGTGAGATAAACCTGAGAAAGCTCCATGAATTTGTGTTAACTTACGAAAACACGTAGCACTGCAGAGAAGTTGAAACCACCAAATGCCCATAGTTCAAAGAGGCCTTGATAACCCTGTCTCGGAACTCCAGCGAATCCACCGTGTCGTTCATAACGTTGTGCACCTGAGCACAGAGAAAACGGGGGTTGAACAGAACAACAGCAATAAATGGAGTGAAAATTAACTAGTGAGAGATCATATTCTTTCTTGCAGTAAGGCCATGGTGATGCTAATGCAGAAGGTATCTACCTGGGACCAGGCACTTTCGCAGCCCTGGTGAACATTTAAACTCCAAGGTTCTATAAACACTGATTAATTACTGAAGAGCTGGAGGGAATTCCTTAAAGGAAAGGAGTAATTAATGGGTTCTTGGAATTCATAAAGTATAATTATTATACATGAGGTTGAAAAAAAATCATCTGAGATCAAGGATGCCTGAAAGTTCCCATTTGAAGACTCAGTGTTGAGTTGCTGATTATTTAAACATTTGACATATATTAATTCAGCAATCTCATCATAATCCCATCAAAACAATCCAGCAATCTCTCAAGATTTGGACAAAGAGAAGTTTTTGAGATGTTGTAGAACTCATGCCACCCCACTCTCTGAAGTGAGTGAAGTTGAGGAGTTTGCCCTGGTGGGCAGGCTGTGCCTTTGCCTTTACCTTGAAAATTTACTCAAATGACCTTGCTTCAAGAAAATCCCAGTTTGCCTGTGATCACAGATTTCTGAGCTCAAAGATTTTGGGCAGCTAAAGCCTGGAAACCATGCCCAAAGACATATTAATTGCTATGCCTACCCCAGTGATCTGTCCATAATTAACTTTGCTATTGTAATACTCTGCAAAAAAAAAGGAATGCATCTAAAACTTTTCTCCTAAGCAACACTTTCCTACAGAAATATGTAAGAATCAAAGAAAATAACTGTAAAATAATAAAATAAATCTTGAGTGAAACAGGGTTAGCTCTACTTCCTCAGTTGTTTGCATATTCAAACACCCTGGAGGTTATTCACAGAGTCCATCTGCTACGAGTCGATGTCTGGGAATGAAAGAAGAAATATGAAGTTTTACCTGCTAATTTGTCTTCTGTGTTCCCAGACACTGACTCATGTTATCCCACCCACTGGACCAAATTGTAATACAGCAGTTCTGTTGTTACAACTTTTCCCAATTACACATTTAAAGTTAAAAGGATCAAAACCAAAAAAACATTTAAGAGTCTAATTAGGAATCTAGGAACTCGACTTAGATATTGAAAACACTGGCCTGGTGTCCAATACCAAATGTGTAATTTGGAAAATTTGTAAGAATGGAAATCTTATATTATCCCAGAGTTCAGAGAGTGAATGCTGTGAGTCAGTGTCTGGGAACACACAGGACAAATGAGAAGGTAAAAATTCATATTTTTGTATTAATTCACAGATATTTGGTAACCTAAATGTGGATTGAAGCCAAGATTTTTTTCAAAAGGATCCTAAACTTGAGCTCCAGAAACCACATGCAGGGGCCTGTTCCATTTCCAGCAGTGCAGAGACTTGGCAGCTCCTACTGAGGTCAATGCCTATGGCTCAGTCCTCAGCTGGAAGAACCAGCAGGTACCTGATTTATGACAAGTTTCTGTAGCTTTGGGAGACCTGGTTCTAGGCTGTAATACAAGGTGCTGCAGAAAAGCATATTACAACTTTCTACAGTTACAGTCAGCAACCAAACATACCTGGAAATGCCCTAAGACAGCAAGATTCATCTTAGCTTCATTACCAACAGGTACACAGCAAACCTTTTTATATCATCAGTTATTACAAAACACATCAGTGCCTCCAGCAACTCATGACTGTAGATAAGGTAGAGAAAGTCCCTCTATATTATCTCTCAAAATGAGCTTGGCATTTTTCTGGGGGATAAAGTATTTCTGAGGTATGTAATTTAGGAAGAACTTTTTCTCTGAAAGGGTTGTCAGACATTGGAACAGGCTGCCCAGGGAGGTGGTTGGGTCACCATCCCTGGATGTGTTTAAAAGTTGTCTGGATGTGGTGCTTGGGGACCTGGCTCAGTGCTGGACTTGGTAGTGTGGGGTTAATGGTTGGACTCCATGATCTTGAAGGTCTTTTCCAACCAAAGTGATTCTGTGATTATGATTGTGTGAATTCTTGTCCATCTGGTGGCATGGTTTGGTTTACACAGATCTGGTCATCTGAACTGCTGATAATTATTTACAGCATTTGCTAACTCAGGCCATTTTTTGATCTTAAACATTTTCACTCATAGATACACTGAAAAAAAAAGGGAGAATATTTTGTTGAGAATTTAAAATCCCCATTTTGTATTGGCAAAAGCCTCAGAAAGCTAGCAATCAGAATGGCCAGCTCTGAGCTGTGAAGATTACCTCCATGGTTCTCCTCTTAATTAATGTTATTTCAAAGTTCTTCCACTCCCACCGTTGCTCCACAACATGGGCAAAAATGACATGTCCATTTCCACATGCTCCAGCTAGTTGAGTGCCATCAACAGACCAAGCAATATTAAATATGCTGCCAGTGTTGGGCTTCTCCAAAGCATAAGACCACTTGGAGAAAAAGAGAGAAAAAAAACCCTTAATTTTATTACTATTTTTTTACTCTTTGGAAAATTTTTTTTAATACAATAAAGAGAACTGCACAGTTACAATTTTCAAAGAAACATCCACAAACAAACTTTTCATTCCAGCTTCAACACGTAAACCAAAAAGAAATGATGTCTTGAGTCAGATCATTGAGTAACAGGGACACAAAAGGAAAACAATCAGGTATGGCACAAATAAACCATGTCCCCATGCCTGAAGCTCATGACTTGCAGATCATGAGCTGTTGCCTGGCTGCTGAAAGATGCTTTTAAGAAAAATTATACACTCTAGCAACATTTAGCTGCATTTAACATTTTAATTCCTTGCCCCCCTCTGCACAGGGCACGTAGCCCCCCATCCTGCCCACGGGGCACCATGGAACTGCCTGCTCCAGGGATGTACAGGCACAGCATGTGCTTAAATGAAACAGCACATGATTTCTTACCCTTTGACACCCCTCCATGTGCTCATTCTCTCTTAACCTTGCAAAAAATCAAATCCTACATCCCCCTAGCACGTACAACAAGGAAGAGGCATTAAAAGTAGCACTTGTCTTTTTCCTTCTGATCCACAGTATCACTGCAGTTAGGAGAGAAGCCTACATTATGCACTAAACCTAATTCCTTTGCAGTATTTAAATTTCCTCGAGTGAAGGACCTTATTCTTATATTCTGAATGTACAAGACTCCTCTGAAGTTTAGCTGGGTCCTTATTAATACAATACAGTAGGAAACTAGAAGAATTTTCAGACCAAAACACTTGTTTTCTATCTCTTGCATCTCAGAAATACAGTTCATACAAGTCATCCCAAACCTCCAAACAAGAATCTCCCTGAAAGTGCATCACCTTTTTATGGACTTTTAGAAAGACCTTAAACCATGTTTTAAAATGAGAAGCCCCTTCAGAACTGAGTAAGAGGAGAGTTTTAAAAAAAACAAACATTAAGCTATTGAAGAACTATCTGAATATCCAAATGCATTTGAAATACTTAAGAATCAAATCAGTAAGAAAAAACATGTGATTGAAGTTAAATGTAGACATGGGATTCTCATGACTTTTGGATACATGATATTATACCAAAGGGGAGACAGTTGGAAGAAAAGAGTCACCTAATGTTTCTAACACATTTCATACTCTGATTTCTTTTGCAGTACATGTAAAAGGCAAGAAATACTAAATCCTTTACACAGAGTCTTCATACAATTCAGAAGAAATGCAATCACTAAAATGACAGGACAACAAAGGTGCCAGACTGCAACAAGGGGATGAACCCCAAGCCCCTGGTTGTGCTAATGATCTGCAGAATCACTGTGAGATGATGACCTCCTGAGTTAAGGCCCTTCTCCTGCCTGTGCACATAAGGGGGAGTGAAAGACAATGTCAGCACTGCCTGAATTTCCAACCTCAAGCACTCAATTTTAAGCCCCCATGCCTCTTGGCTCACACACAGGCCACTCACTGCCTGGATCAGCTGCAGTTGGGGAAGGGAGCTGCAATTCTTGGAGCAAAGTCCACAACCTACTCTTCTGTCTCAGCAGGATGGATTCTGTATGAAACACTCTACAGAAATTAAAAGCATAATATTTAATGATGTCTGACATCCTTATATGGCAAATAAGTACTTGAGGTTGCAGGACAAATGACTGTAGGAAGGACACTTAGAGAACGCTCTCGAGGTCCTACATCTGAGACAGATTTTTCACAGCTGGCCAGATGTGATCTATCTGAGAACAGTTTGAAGAAGTACTATTCCAAAACTGAGTATTAGGATCCTCCCAAACAGACAAGGCTGTTTCTAAGGTCATTTCCCTCAGACCCAGGATCTACCCATCAGCCAGAATGAATAACAGAGGGGACTCAAGCCATCAACTAAGAGCAAGTTTAAGGATGTTGAAGAATGTGGCCTTGGTGCTACTTTTTTATGCACAGCAGATTCACAGCACCTCTGAGAGGATACACTTCCAAAACTTCTTTTTTTTTTTCCTGAAGAAGAAATCTTTCTTTTTTTTCATGTAGTTGAAATATTCAGAAAATACTTTCAGCTTACAAGAGTTATATATATATTTTTGAAAGTATATAAAGCAATTGTAAAGTTTTATTTCCAGTTCTGTTTGAAAGCTCTCAGTATAACTCAGACCACTCCAATGATTCATATTCCCTGCAGATGTCTGCTACATTTATCATGTACACAAAATGTTATAAAAATCATTTCACTCTCCATTTGTAAGATAAGAACAGGTTTTAAAAACCAAAATAGCTGTTATGTATTTCCTAGATACATTGAGTTTAAAAAAAACCAAGGGTATGACTATGACTATATGAATGACTGTATGAATGTTGTTCTACCATTAGCTGCAATATTATACTTGGGCTGTTCAGCTTAGACTTTTCCTGTGTCATAATTAATTTTTCATTTTATTCAACCAACTCTCTCAAGAACAAACCCAGTAGTTATAAAAGTTTCATTATGTTAAATAAATACATAAGAGCAGTAACTCAAACTTCCCTTTTCTGATTGCACAATGTAGTAAAGAAGATGAAGTACTACAGTCACTGAATGTTGCCTGACTTCCCCAAATGGAAACTGAGCAAACTATTGAGATGTCAGCGAAATTACTTCCATCAGCAGATTCAGAGAACTCTGTGTCCCAGCAACAAGAAGAGTCTTTCACAGGTATAATATTGATGCTCCAAGACTCAGGATGAAGGATCCTAGTTATTATTTTGAGCTGGAATGCAATACATTCAGAATGGTTATCAGCCATGTAACACCACAACATGAATACCAAGCATAGTGAAGAAAGAGTATTTTCTTGTATTTTAAATTATAAGATGAATACTGATGTCAGCTTTGCAAAGGACACTTGGGTTGTTCCTGGCTGGTCTCTGCCTCTGCTGTTAAGCAGGGAATGCTGACACAAGCTGAACTACAGCTGATCCTGCTGA